ACCAAACCCAAACCCTTAGCCTTTTCCTGTGCCAGAGAGTCTGGAGTAAGAATGTGAGCCCACACACATTAATTAGCCAAGAAATATCTGTGAAGCTGTCAAGAGAGCCACTTGCTAAGTTTAGCTGTGAGATGAAACCCAAGAGCTTTGGAATTGTTTTTGATACATAACACCAGAAGTCACCATTTTTTAAATGTATTTGATTATTAGTGCATGTGGGAGGTGTGGACGCCATAGTGCTCATGTGGCACTCAGAATAACTTGCAGCAACTGCTTTCTCTCTCTCCTTTTACCAAGTGGATCCCAGGGATTGAACTCAGGTCATCAGACTTAGCTACAGGTGCCTTTATCGGCCTAGTCAATTTGCTGGCCCAAATATCAGCATTCTTATGCTCAAATGATCTAATTCTGCCAGGCTGTGGAGACTCATACCTTTAATCCCAGCACTCAGGAGGCACATACTGGCGGATCTCTGAGTTCCAGGTCAGCTTGGTCTATAGAGTGAGTTCTGAGACAGTCAGGACTACATAGAGAAACCCTGTCTCCATAAAGAGCAAGACCAAACAAAACATCTAATTCTATTTGGTCTTACCTTTTCTTACTCTGAGCCAACTTTTTGAAAAAGAAAATCAAATGATTTGAAGAAACGGTGAGGTGGCTACCATTGACCCTCAAGTTGACAGAATCTAGAATGATCAGGTGTGGTGTTTGTGCAGCTGCTTCAATGGCATGCATTGGAGAGAGAGGACCCACCCACTGTGAGTGGCATCATTTCCACAGTGGATGTAAGTGGAGAGGGGAACTGAGAGGCAGAATGTGCTCACCATGTCCTGATTGTGGCTGAGGTGCGCCAGCTGCTTCAGGCTCGCGCTGTCTTGACCGCCATGATGGACTGCACTCTTGAACTGTAGCCCAGGATGAACCCTCCCTCCCTTAAGCTGTTTCTGTTGGGGCATTCTTATCACAGCAACAAAAAGAATCCAAAACATCCAGGGCTTCAGACTTCTGGAATAATACCCTCTTCTAGCAATGTACAGAATATGTTGTCTAGAACTTTAAAGGAGTTTGAAAGCTTTATATCAGTGGTTCTCAACCTTCCTAATGCTGTGACCCTTTAATACAGTTCCTCATTCTGTGGTGACCCCCTCAACCATAAAATTACATTGTTGTTTATGGTGATATGTTATTTGGCAAGCTTTAGTAAATCATAGCATATCACCACAGTTGCTACTTCACAACTGTAATTTGCTGCTATTATGAATCCTAGTGTAAATATCTGATGCAGAATATCTAATATGCAACCCTGTGAAAAGGTTGTTCAACCAAAGGGGTCTGGACCAACAGGTTGAACTTAAGTGTGTGTATGTGTGTGTATGTATGTAGGTGTGTGTATGTATGTGTATATGTGTGTATGTGAGTGTGTGTATGCGTGTATATAAGTATGTATTGTGTATATATATGTGTGTGTGTGAGTGTGTGTGTGTGTGTGTGAAGGTCAGAGAACAATTTGCAGGAGTTGCTTCTCCCCTTCCCTCATGTGCATCTGGCTGACGTTATCTTTAGTTTTTGTTGTTTGTGACAAAGTCTCTCTATGTAGCTTTGGCTGGCCTGGAACTCTCTGTGGACCAGACTGGCTTCCAACTCAGAGATCCACTTGTTTCTGCCTCTCCAGTGCTGAGATTAAAGGCTTGCATCACCATGCAAAGCCATCATCTTCATTTTTAAACACAGATAAGTTAGGCGTGCCTAAGAACTCACATTCTAAGCATGCTGTTGTAATAGTTTAAAGGAGTAAACATTAAACACCCCAGGAGTCCTAATAGGACCCTAAAGTCCTCAGCTTTCTTCTGTTGTTTTGGTGCCCTTATTTTTGAAACTTTGTATCTATTGAAACTTTGGCTACAGTCCTAAAACACAAACCACCGTCAATTACCGGGTGTGATGGCTACTGTGTCAATTTGGTACACCTGGGAAGAGACTCAATCAGGGATGTCTATATTGGGCTAGCCTGTGGCTGTGTCACGAGAGATTGTCTTAATTAATTGATGTGGGAAGACCCAGGTACCATTCCCCAGGCAGGGGAATCCTGGATCATATAAGAATGATGTGTTGATTTGAATGAAAAATGGCTCCCATTGGCTTAGAGAGAGTGCCATTATTTTAAAGGTTTAGGGCCTATGGCCTTGTTGGAGTAGGTGGGGCCTTGTAGGAAGAAATGTGTCACTGGGGTGGGCTTTGAGGTTTCAGAAGCTCAAGTCAGGCCCAGTGGCTCACTCTCTCTTCCTGACGCCTGCCGATCTGGATTTAGAACTCTTGGCTCCTTCTCCAGCACCATGCCTGCCTGTGTGCGGTCATGCTTCCTGCCATGCTTCCCACCTTGATGACAATGAACTAAACCTTTTAACTGTAACCCAGCCCTAGTTAAATGTCTTCCTTTATAAGAGTTGCCGTCGTCATTTGCCGACGTCATGGCATCTCTTCACAGCAATAAAACCCTGGCTAAGACAAATATAGAAATAGAGCTGAGCACAAAAAAATAAATAAACAAACAGGTGAGCATGCAGGCATTTGTTTCTCTCTGCTCTTGACTGTGGGTGTGTTGTGACCAGCTGTTCCAAGTTCCTTCAACATCATAATGGACCTACCTCTCCCCTGAGTGACTGTTTTTGTTTTGTTTTGTCAGGGTGTTTTTATCCCTGCAGCAGAAATGAATCTAGATCAGAGCGTAGCCTGTCACCTTGCCACCACTGGAATTCCAACTTAAAGGTGACCTCAGAGAGAAAAACAGGGAGAAGTTTCTACTGGACAACTTGTTAAAGAAGGGACCTGGGTGGGTCTTGAGACAGAGCTCTGGCCAGGTGCAGAATGCAGAAATAGAAAGGGATTCTTTTCACCCAAGACTTGGTGTTCTAAAAATGTAAGAATTTAGGCTGGCTCAGGGGTTAGGAGAGCATACTGCTCTTGAGAGGACCCAAGTTCAGTTCCCAGCATCCATGCAAGGTGACTCAAAATCACCTGTATCTCCAGCTCCTACAGATCTCACTCCCCCTTTGGGCCTCCACAGGCACTGCACTCATGTGCACATACCCATGCATAGAAACGTACACTACATACACATTTTCTTGCTTTCTTTTTTCTTTTTTTTTTTAAGTAAGAATAGATTCCAGGTAAACAGCCTAAGATCTAGTAGGTCTTCTAGACTCCTCGGATTCTTAATTTTGGTCTAGAAAATAGGCTTCAGGTACAGGCCAATAATGGCTGCTGCTGTCTCCTCCGTGTGGCATCAAATCAGACCCTGCAGTGAGAGACAGATAAGTAGCAGTGTGTTCAGAAACTTCACCAAGACAAAGGAAGAAACTAAAGCCCAAAATGATAAGGGTGAAAGGCCAAACTAGCCTGGATCACAGAGAAATTAGCAAAGAGCAGACTGGCTTGAGCCAGCCCTTCCCAACATAGCTGTGGCTGGGACCTCAGGCAGAAGCAAACCCTCTTCCCACTTGCTGGGCTGCCTGTTTCTCAAAGTATTTGGCTCCTGGCAGTTGTTTCCGACAGGAACATAGCTCTGAAATGTTCACACTGGTCCAATAGATGACATGGCACCTCACATCCATCAAGGCCGAGGAACAGACAAAGTGTTTGTGGGTGCTGTCAGCTTGACTTGTGAACATATAACAGACCCCCATCAGGAAATGGAGTCAACCTGTGGCCCTCGTTACCCTCCTGAAAAGCACTCCAGGGGAGGGCTGACGAAACTTCGCAGCAGAATCTCCTTACTTCTGGCCTCTGCCTCATGGGTGTCTATAAATTTTAAGACTGCCAAAGCTGTGGTGAGAGAGACCAGGTCTTACCCTGGTTCGGCCAAACCATACATAGACCCATTCTCCTTTGTCAATTTATTTTTCCTGGATGTCAGTGTCCGGTAACAAGCTTGGCTCTTTGGGGCGGGGACAAGGACACCAGTGTGGCAGAGCAGAGGAAAGGTCTAGCAGTGATGGGGGGGGGGGCTCAGCAGATTTGCCTGCTCCTCGGGGACCATGTAGGGATGTGGCTATGCTCTGAGTGACAAGGAGCCAGGGTGGGCTCTGGCCATGCACAGGGAAAGTTCTGCAGAAGGCTCTGGTAGCGAGCGAGCGAGCGTGCGTGCGTGCGTGCGTGCGTGCGTGTGTGTGTGTGTGTGTGTGAGTGTGTGACCAGGTGTTGTGAAGCTCAGGCTGGTTTCCAACTCACTATGTAGTCAGAGCTGGCTTTGAACTCCTGATCCTCCCGACACCACCTTCCAAGTGCTAGGGGACCGGTAGCAGGCTTAGCTCTGGTAGGATCCCTTCTGATACCGTGGGGAAGACTGACAACAGAAAATGAGCTTGGAAGCCAGGGGGCAGATGGGGAACAACTTGGGGAATGGTGGGAGCATGAGGAGGTGCAGGGGAAACAAGCGGCAGGACTGTGGTGTGTGTGGGGGTTCAGGGTGTGTGTGTGGGGTTCAGTCCACCCTGGGTCCGCTTTTCATGTCAGCTGGGAGAAAGTCTGCAATCTCCCTTCTTGACAGACACTCAGCCGCTGTCAGGTAAAGTGCAGCCCTGACCATTGGTCTTTGAACGAAACTGCCCTCTAGGCTAAGCCTGGAACGGAGCCCTCCCAGAGTGTGTGGGTGCGTGTGCGGTGTGTGCCGGGTGCGTGTGTAAAGCAGGCGCAGGGCTGACTCCCTCATGTAATATGACCACAGACAGGGTCCTGAAGCCCTGCTGTGAGCTCCACTACAGTCGGGACTGTGGGTTTGGGGCAGTCCTGAGTGGCCCTAGCTCCCGGTGAGGTGGACGGTTCCACAGCTCACACCACAGGAACGAAACACAGGTCAGGGCGGGTGGGGGATGGGCTGGGGAGTGTGGTTTGCAGGAATGAGTCGGAAAGGCTCCCCTGGTCGCTCTGGTTCAGTCTCCTCCTCTCTGCCCCCTCCCATCACCACCGGGAGCCCGCCTCCCCAATCCCCTCTCCTCCCCTCCGCAGCAGCCCCGGCAACCCCTCCCTTCCCGCTCCTCCCTCTCCATCCCACGTTTTCCAGCCAGGCTCTTAAGAGTGGGGGCCTTCAGGGCTGGCTGGACTGGGGATCCTGTGGTCCGGTGTTGGTGGCGGTGACCTGTTGCCACTCTGTAGCCTCACACCCTCGAGCCATGTCCTGGGCTGCTCTGCTCGGCCTGGCCGCGCTGCTGCTGCTGCTGCTGCTGCTGCTGAGCCGCCGGCGCGTGCGGTGAGTGTCCCCGGGACGCGCGTCAGGGTGGAGAAGCATGCCAGGTGAAGACGAGGGTTGGAGGCGTGTGACCCGGGCAGAGCTGCTGCTATTACCCACGCTGCAGCCTCCACGGTACCCGCGCACACTTATCTCTAGACTCACCGTGGCTCGATCCCGAGTGGGTATTCTCAGGATGGACTCGAGGCCCTGCTAGGGACACACTGGTCCTGAGGGATTCCCACTCATGCATAATGTTCCCATGATCCACGACATACCCACCAGCGGAGAAACTGAGGCCCACCAGTCCCGCTGACTGGGTAGAGTCGAACCAGATTCTTGGTCCTTTAAAAGTGTGGTGGGTATCCTTGGAGATTGCCATTTTGGAGAAAAAACTAAAAACTTTTCTTCATGCCGGGGAGTTTAGCTGGCAGTAATTTTTTGTGTAAGGTATTACAAAGTTAATTTGAATCGCAAAAGACCAGCATACATTTGCCCTCTCATTCCGTCTCTTCTCCCTTCTCCAGGCCTTTCCTGTTGCTGGGTTTGGGAGGAACTCTCCAGATTAAAAAAAAAAAAAAAAAAAAAAAAAAAAGGAACAAACAAACCCAGCCACACACACACTATTTCAGACTGGTCTGAAAGTTACAGAAAAGTGGCATTATCCCACTTCCCTTCGGCTACTGCTCCTGCCCCAGCTCACATCCGACATTCTTGTGGGATGTTTGTCTCACTTAAAACCCAGGCCTGGTCCACGGCTGAATTTCAGACGGTGGAGTTCACCGGTCCTCTGGGTTAACTTCCAGGGTCTGTCTGCACCATCAGTAGTCTAGAGTTGTCCAACAGGACATCCCCAGATGTTTCAACAGTGGTTCCCTTCCACAGACTCCAGCTCTGGTATTATAGGGCAGCTTTGGTGTGTGTTTACATTACAGCGCCTTAAAATCCCAGAAAGACTGGGAACCTTACATTTTAAACAATGCTTAACTTGAGTTTTCCAACAGTTAGCTCACACCAGGCACTTTTCCAGGTGAAAGCTAAAACTATGTGTTTGCTTATCTGCCCCAAAAGGAGGGAAGGAAAATTCAAAAGTCATTCTTGTAAGGGGTAGCTGGATGTCCTTATCTGTCAGCTCTTCCTGTATCAGGTCTGTGTTTGCAGCTTGCAGAGTTTTCTTTGCTCACACCAGATGTTAGACGTGACAGATGCTCATGCTCCGGCCCAGGTCACTTGTGGGCTCCCCAGCCCATCCCCCACCCGCCCTGACCTGTGTTTCGTTCCTGTGGTGTGAGCTGTGGAACCGTCCACCTCACTGGGAGCTAGGGCCACTCAGGATTGCCCCAAACCCACAGTCTTTCTGTTCACGGACTTTTTGATTATTATGAGAGCTTTCTTTTTAAATAAATTGTGTGTGTGTGTGTGTGTGTGTGTGTGTATTCACGTGCTCGTGTGGGTGCACACACACATGTGGAGGTCAGAGAGCAAGTTACAGGCACTGGTTTTCTCGCTTTGTGGGTGCTGAGGATCCAACTCAGGTCATCAGACTGGACAGCAAACACCTCTACCCACTGAGTCGTCTTGTGACCCTATTTCTATAGCTCTCTGGGTCTCACATATGGTGCTCTGGTTTGCCTGCAGGGGCCTATGACCTGTGCTATGCCCTGGGGCAGGTAGGACAGCTAAGAAGGGGATGGATTTTATGAGGATGGACGTCTGTCTGGGCTCCAGCCTGTGGAGCAAGTTCGTGTCCTCTGCCCCAGTTCCCAGTGTTTAACGTGATGATGATGATGATGGTGACTATGACAACCAACTATGACAATGACCATGACTGACCATGACGACAACATTGTCCTGGGGAGGGCACACACCTCCCAACAGGGCAGTTTGGGCTGGCTCTTGTCTGAGGATCTGAGAGCTCCTTTATCTTGGGATGAAACTGGTTTTTATACCTTTGGGTGTTAAACAAGATAGTGTTGAGCAAATAAACATGGGGACAAAGCAGAAGTAACCCAGCAGGGCAATTTCTTTTCCAAAAAGGGCAGCACTGTGATCCAAGCCAGGCTAGCAACAGCTTGTCTAGCACCTGACCAACTATCTTTTGGTTCCAAGACACAGCCCTGGCGTGCTGTAAATTCACATGAGTCTCCCAGATCTGGCTACCTCAACCATTTCCCAGTGATGTTTGGCTAGTGTTGGAAGCACATGGTTGGGAAAACTCTAGGCCCCCTCTAAAAACCAGTTTAAAAAAAAGTTATACATAACAATGTCAAACACTAAAAAATCCACTATGGTGGAATTTTGTCCCTGGTGTCATATAAAAATGCGTTGACCTCACTGGCAGTAGAGCCAGCGCTGGCATTTCCTCTGGAGCTCCCATTTCCAAGACCACATTAGACATCCAGTGAGGGAAAGGACCAAAGCCAGAGAAAGATTAGAACCTGGGACTGAATGCCTGTGGTCCAGGAAATTCTAGGAGTGCAGCGACCCTCCAGGACTCAGTGGTTCCAGGAAGTTTTAGCGGTGCTGCCATGTTGGCTCACACCATGTGGTTGGTTGGTTCATGGCCCTCACCATCTTGATGTTGTCACCAGTCAAGATGGCAATGATCCGTGGGTTTACTGTGGGCTCAGCCCTATGATGAAATGAGCCACCCACATGGGGACACAAGTTCTTGTGGGATCCACGCAGTTCATAGGCTCTGTGTGAACTGTCAACTCCCCTCCCCCACCTTTTTTTTTCAGATGAGCATCTAGGTCAGATTAACATTAGGATAGAGCTGCAGACATTACCCTCAGGTGTGTGGGCAAACTGGAGAAACGGAGGAAGGAGTTCTGTGGTCCCAACCCAAGGCAGTGAGTCCCTGTGTCTTACCACAGATTATACTGGAGTAAAACAATAGGATCTAAAGGTTTCCATGTTCCCTGGATTCCTAAGTACAGTCTGTTGCTGGGCTGGGTGTCCATGAAGGAAACAGAACAAAAGGGAGGTGTGCCCAGTGCCTGTAGGGGGCACCATTTCCCTGGAAGCCCATAAAGAAACTGAGCTGCAAAAAGTGACTTTGGTGTCAGTCTATCACACCTGAGCATGGCAGGGCCTGGACTGTTCTGTGACCTTCTTCACACTGGCATAGATTATTTTTCTTTTTAATTTTTGTTTTATGCATATGTGTGTTTTCCCTACATGTATGTCTGTATACCATGTATGTGCCTGGTTCCCTTAGACGCCAGAAGAGGGCATCAGATCCCCTGGAACTAGAGTTACTGATGGTTGTGAGCCACCATGTGGGTGCTGAGAACTAAACCTGGGTCCTTTGAAAGAGCAACAAGTGTTCTAACCACTGAACTGTCTAACTGGTACTGGTAGGAATTTAAGCTCTTGAGAAACTGATTTGTTAAAATAGTTATTTTTGCCACGTGTGGTGCAGCTGCCTGGCACCATGTGGTCCAAGACAGTGTTGGACCTAACCACACAAAGTGGATGGGAGTCATGTTTCTGTCCCCCAAACCTGATCCAAAGTCTCCCGGGTTCTCTGAGGAGAATCCCACACCCAGGAAGGGGAGATGGGAAGTTGCGTGGTTCAGTCTTCCCCTTTGCTTGGGCAAGAAAGACAACGTTGAATGGGACCCTCTGGGCAACTTGGTTCCCCCGTTTGGGGAAATCATTTCCTTCATTTTCCTTTTCTTTCTTTCTTTTTTTTTTTTTCCTGATTATTTTACATTACAATCATTAAAGATTAAACCCCAATTCTTATATCAAAATACAGTGGAGTCCATCCACTGTAATATTTTCCTGGGCCCTTCCTGAATTGCTGAGAAACTTCCCACTCTGGTATTGTTACTGACCTGAAAGAGTGTCATTTGCCCCAGACCCTGTGGGCCCCAGCAATGGGCCATGGGCTGTGTCTTCCCTAAGGGAAAGGAATCAAACTCTCCCAGGTGGAATCGAAATCTGGAATGATGAACCTTAAAATTATTGGGAGAAAATATCTTGATGTCGAACAAAGAAACACACCAACAATGTGATAGTAACTAGGCAAGGGGATTTCTTTTTTTGTAAAAAGTGCGCGCCATGACCTAAACTGGACTAGCGAGCATGCCAGGGCCAGGGCACTTAGTGTCTATTTTAGTGCAAGTCACAATTGTGTTTTTTCTCCAGGGGCTGGGGTCTGACCTCTCAGTCTTTTTCAGCTGTATACTTTTCAAAGAATCAAGGCAAAGGAAGGGAGGGAATGGTGGGAGAAACTCAGCTGCTCCAAGACTGCGAGACCTGGGAATGATGTAGTCTCACCCATGGGAAACGAAAAGATTTCCATAGAAGTTTCATAAGGTGGGGGAGATTAATGGAATATTGGCACTTGTGGGCTAGCCAACTTTTTATAGAAAAACAAAACCAAAAACATTCCTCCCGTGGGCACCTGGGGAAGTAATTGAGAAGGCTTGGGGAGGAGGCGTGGGTATGGAAGATCCTGGCCTCTTGGGGTAACCCTTCTCACCTGCCTAAAAGCACTCTGGTTATTCCCGTTAAAGTATTTTTTAATTTTATGCATGTGAGGCTTTTGCCTGAATGTATGTCTGTAAACCATATGTATGACGTCAGATCTCCTGGAACTGGAGTTACAGATGGCGTGAGCCATTCAATGTGGGTGCCAGGAATGGATTCCGGGTCCTCTGGAAGAGCATCCAGTTCTCTTGACTACTGAGCCATCTCTCCTTTGTTACCCTCTTCTTAGAGGAGGAAACATAACTTGCTAGAGCTCTGCCCTGGTTAAGACTCTGGGCTACAGGCATTTTCCATTCCCTGGAACGATGACTTCTTTCCTTTTCCTTACGTTGCTTCGCTGATCTGACCACTCAAAAATCCCAGATGATAAGATCCACAGCTGGGAACCAAACAATCCCATGGAAGGAAAAGATAGGCAAGTGTTGGAGGACAAGTTCGTGGGCGGGCCCCAAAGTTTGGGTGGAAATACGAGAGGCTCTCCTCCACCCTACCCCATTCCTTTCTCCTGACCAAACCTGGGG